GCTTCACGTAAGGATACGGCATTTTGCCGAATCCATTGCATTCGGTTTGGGTGAACGTGCCGAATATACTCGTTTAAATAATTTCTTTTCAAAAATTCTGAATTACACTAGTAAAATAATTGAACGCGAACTTTGTTTACAAGGTAATTTATAAATTCTTTATTTAAAATAAATATTGAATATGCAATTTTATCAAATTTACCAAATTTATTAATTTATTTATTTATTTATTTATTAATTTTTTCTTAGCTTTCACCGAGTCCATCTCTTATTTTGGTTCTATTCTTAGTTATCTCATTATTGCAATTCTTATTTTCAACGGCACATACGATAACGTTGAAAAAGATAAACTGAGTGGAATAATTAGCATGGTAGGCTTTTTTTTTTTTTCATTAAACATTGTGATCAACATTGTGATCAGTCATTGCATTATGAATTTACTAATTTCGTGACATTCTCATTTTCTAAAGAATTCTTTTATCGTATTATACCTTATATACAGATTTACCAGAATTGTTGATCAATCCGTTGAAATATCAGATTTAGCTGGTTATACTGCACGTATAGGTCAACTTTTAGAAGCGCTTCAAGAAATTGACAACGAGCTTGAAAATGTTGAGATTGATAGTCCATTTAGTAGTCAATTAAGGTTTGTCTCGTACTCATCAATATTCATAATATTCACAATATTCACAATATTCACAATATACAATATAATTAATTTTAAAATAAATATTAATTAATTTTTATTTAATTTATTTTGTATTAAATAGTGGTGAACTAATAATAACATTCGACCAAGTTTCTATTTCATCTCCATCTGGCCACCAATTACTATCCGATTTCAAATTCTTTATAGAACAAGAAAAGAATTTAATGATAATAGGTCCTAATGGTAGTGGTAAAACTTCACTACTGCGCGTAATGTGTGGCCTTTGGCCAACCACAAAAGGACGCATTATAATACCACGTACAAGTAACCAACAAAAATTATTTATATATTTACCACAAACTCCATATTTGACCTTTGGCTCTCTACGTGATCAAATAACTTACCCTCTGAGAAACGATGAAAAGACTAAACATGGTGTGTATTTTAATTTGTATTTT